ACCTATACTCAATCATAAGGTTGAAATTAAAAAATCTTATTAGAAATATAACAATTTCTGAAATTCACTAAGTATTTTCTTTTTACACAGGCTAGATCACTCAATTTTTAAATCTTGTACAGAAAGAAATTATATCAACCAAGTATTTCCTATTAGCGCAACCATCGTGTAATACTTAAAATTTAAGTGCCGACCATGTTGGACTGCCACGCAGAGGTCCCGGGTGCGATCCCTCGAATAATTTGGACGTTCTATGTCGGCGTTTTTAAGAACACAATGGGTGTTACCTAACACGGGTGGTATACGCCTATGTATATACTGATCCTTTTAGGATCACCTCGTTTTGTTAAATTTGCTGGGGATCGATGGCTTTAAGAGACCTTAGATAAGTACTCTTGTTTGTCTCCGGCTTGAAAGTTTGTGACCTTTTGCCCGTTTCGCCTTCGGATTTTCACTAGTTTATATTTTGAACGGTGTTATGTTTCAATCTTGCACAACCCGACCTTAAAAAGAATTCATGATGAGAGTTTAACGACGTATAAGAAAATGTATTCAGCTTCATTTGATTCTTTTTTAAGATTCAGTGAACGCAGATTTGAATTACGTTGTGATTCATATATATGTCGACGATGGTTACGACGATGTCAGTAACAAATTATCGTAATGACGACAAAACATTGTCGTAAATATGTACCTAAATACGACGCTGAATTTTTTTTAACAATTTAAAGATTCCGGCGTTATTTTGCGCAAATTCATGGTAATAAAAATGGAAGTAAATTACTTTGCTACTCCGCGTAGCCATTTATTTTATTATTATTTATATATATTTATTATATTTATATTTATTATTATTATATTTATTATTATTATCATTATCATTATTATTCTTATTTTTTTTTTATTTATATACCCATCTGTATGTACATCTCACAGCCGGGCACAGGTTCCTCTCAGGTGAGTGTTTAGATAATAGTCCGCCATGCTGATACATGCAGAAGTCATACGATTTCCAATGGTTCTAAACCTGGTTCGATGTGCAAATTTCATTACGATGTTTTCTTTCACCGAAAAGATCATGTAAATTTCGAATTAAATTTTGCACATAAATTCCTAAAAGCTCAAACCAAATTAGTGCGAGCCCGGATTCGAATCCACGGCCTCTGCTTGAGTGACGGTAGGGCAAACCATTAGGATATCATGGCAGTCAATTTTAGTATAAAATGAAAATAAATAAGACAAACGCAACTACAATCACAAACACCACCACTAAAAATATTCTCGATGCGTGTTTCGCCGCCTTACGAGGCATCAAAAGGAGTTGTTGATTGTTCGACGCTCGGTCGAAGAAACATTTGTTGAACAAATTAACTGCATAAAAAATATTTAAGGCAGCTATTTTGCACGATTTAGCCTTCTCTGGGTCCGCGATGTAGTAAAGTAACTTACTTAAATTTGTGTCAAGCCTTATTTGCATATTTATAGTATTTGTGTTATCGCACCAATATGTGACTGGACCCAGATTTTGTAGATATGTGAAGAGAGTTTAAGGCACGCTCTGGCTTATTCTATGGCAGGTTGGGGATTTACTCGTTTGAAAGGGCTATAAACCTACTTCGTCATGCAGGTTTTGTTACAATATTTTTATTTTCGTACGAAACTAAAATCTGATGAATTATTAAGTCACGGAATGAAATGTTGTAATATACTTCAGGAAGGTTGTTAGTATTTTACAAATAGCCCTGTATATTTAATCCAATAAGTAACTATTATCCATTTACAGTTTTACACTGAGCTAGATTAATCAGATGCTGTATTATGCGCCAGCTGTCGCACCTAAATACGTCCCTATAAATTCTATAATACCAGTTTAGACACAAAACCAAGCCTGTCTGACCAAGTTTTTAAAATAAGATCTTGTGAAGGATTGCAAAGTCGATCTTAAAAAATAATGCTCTGAATTAAAAATACTTCAAAAAACCTTTTTCTACATAAAATTTTTTTCCGTTCTTTGTAATAATGATTTAACGAACAAAATGATAAGTTGTAATTTCGTTATTATACCTAGGTTCTTGTAGTAGTGCTCATAGACAATTTACTAATGAAGTCATAAAAGAACGAACTTCGAGTTCCATTATGTAGCACTATATAATTACATAAAAGGTAATCTAATACATTGTACAAAAGTAGCTTTACGATACATCAATGCGTACAAATAGGCTTGTTTAAAATCACGTATGAATGCATGATAATGCCTGGTGACTTGACGTCATGTCGTCGGGAAGACTATTATGCTGATCCTTTTAGGCTAAACGGATATTCCCCTGATGAGATTGTCTACCGTCTGGCTCGAGCGTCTGGTGCTGATAGCTTGTTAGCATGCGGTTTAACAAAATGGACGTACGTTCAGTAATTGTAGCAAAAGTCGTATATTTCAATTGTTCAGACATAACACTGTATAATGGTAGGTATAATATATAAAATTATTTATTCTAGATAGTTAACATATTACTGTTGGGTAATTTTCCTAAAAATTTCAAATATAGTGGAAATTTTTCAGGATTTTTTTTTTTAAATTGGAAAAATTTAAATTAATTCTAAGGATCACATTATGTGCTACGTTTAGAAAATATATGTTTTGAAGTTTTATTTAGCATGAATTATAAATAAAAGTGTATAGCTAAAAGCAAGTTAGAGTAAAACGAGATTTAAAATGATTGGACAACAGCGAAAAAAAAAAGAATTATTGATAAAATAAGTTTTTATAATGGCGCCATCGTTTTCGTTCAGTATCATCCACTTTTAACACGTGTCATCAGTCAAATCTGGAAAAATACAGAAAAAATATTCAAAAACTTTTTAGGATAATAAAAGGAAATAGGAATTTTTTGAAAATGTAAATTTTTTGAAAATGTAAATTTTTTGAAAATGTAAATTTTCCCATGACCCAACACTAGTTAACACACACTAACACAATAAAATAGTAAATGTAATTAATAAATGTAATTATAAATAGATTTATGGACTTGATAAAAGTTGCTACTTGTTTTATTATCTTGAGACTGTAATTAAGCTTCATGCACTTTAAAAAATACGAACAAGAAAGTTTTTTAATTCTTTTAATTCTTTTAATGTTTCTTTCACCGTGCTTTCTAGTTGATGGATGACATTCTACGTCCTTTTCGTTATACTGTTATTTTACGTGTCTATCGCGTGCTCTCAGGCAATTTTTACGACTACGAGTAAGGGAAGTTCGTTACATTACAGTAAATTTGTTTACAATACCATTACCGAATAACCAATACCGAAACCCCTTTGAGTATAAACTAGAAATTGTAACTTGCTGTTGGTAGTTGGAGCATACGAATAGATTTTATTTAGAATGCTCACAGTTTCCCAATATTCAAAGTTTGCTCTTCCATATAATGGTTTCGACATCGGTCGGGTAACAGCCTGCTAATGCAATACCTGTGTCGTTTTTCAAAACAGTCCTTTTCAGTGGAGATTACGTATAAACCACTTACGTGAAAGTCCGCGCTAAGAGGATTACAGGTATCTTGTCGACGTAGGCATTTTATATCGTCTGCACGGCCCTGATCCCAAGAAATATCTCCCTTGAGGCCTATTATTACACAGCATACTTCGTACAGGCAAGGCAGTAATGGATCAGTTTTACTGACCCTGTTGAAAACTTAGTTTAGTTACCAACGGACAACTAGTACAATCTTGGTGTCACATATTGTGAAAGTAAAGGGAGACACTGTTACAAAATGCAAGATGAATAAAGCACTTTCTCCATATACAAATATTTTCCTACAATATTCAGTCACAAACAAGTAAGGCATTAAAAGCTGGTGAAAAGTATCCGATATGAATGTCCAGTCCATACATTTTATTTTGTTAATTCGAACAACAGGCCGCGATTTTTAACAAAATCACTGTGCTGTAATGCTAAACGATGTCCGTAACACTTTATGCTGTAAGCTCTTATTTTTCGAATAATTGTCATCACACTAAACAATGAAAGCACTCTTTGTACGGTACAGTCAAACTTCACGTATTGTCAAAAGAAACAATGAGACGAGAGAATTGTGAAGATTTCAGTGTAATGTTATTAATGTTGTTAACTATTGGTATTTCGCAAATTCATTGATATTACAAGGACAAACTTTAAGACAGATATTTTGGTTTGTAAAATTTTACGGTGCGATATATATTTGAAAAATAAGATATGTAGATAGTAATATGTAGAATAAGTTATGTAGATAATCTCAGTACAGAGTACTAAAAAACCGATCTCAAAAGTTTTATTGAAATCGGTTACCAGAAAGTGCGCAAACTCGGATTCATCCCCTAGCTTGCCACTATACGGGACTTGATACAGGAGATAATAAAAATCGGTTCTTACTACTCAAAGTATATTGAGAGAGAAAAACGCCTTGAATTGGAGAATAGCAAAATCAACCATTAAAATAATTGCTCCTTTTAATAAAATTTAGGCACTATTTATAAAAATGAATCTTCATGCGTGAACAGCCACGCTTAAAGGTGGATGATTTTCTTCTAAATTAAGTGGGACCACTATGGAGGTACCCTCTTTCCAACAAAAAAAGAATCAAGAAAATCGGTTCACAAATACCGGAGTTATCGTGTAACATACATACAAAAAAAAAACACAGTCGAATTGAGAACCTGCTTTTTTTTTCGTTAAGTTTAAGTCGGTTAACAAAGAAATGCATGTTAGGAAGTACTCGGACAAAATGGAATAGGAAAATAGTATAATTTCCATGATTGCAGGTATGTTTTGAACAAAACCTTTTATTCGTTTGGTGGTTAAAAGCAATATTCGTCGCAAACACTTGTACGTGCCACCGTTTTTTATGAGCTGACTAGCGAATCGAACATGACAACGTTTGATATTGAAAAACAGATTTGAATTGTTTTTGTAGATTGTCTTTACCGATCGTAAAGCAAACGCTTATCGTAATTTTTTGTTGCAGTATATTATTCGCTGACATTGTGGGCTTCACGGTGCTCGCATCGCAGTGCAGTGCGCAGGAGTTAGTAAGGTTGCTCAATGAACTCTTTGGAAGATTTGATCAACTTGCAAACGTAAGTGTTACATACTATTTTGTACACGTATGTAGGTTGAAACCTCAATTTCATGTTTACAACCAACATTAATTGAATTTACACTTAATCGCGTTAAAACAATCGACTTCAATCTAAGTATATAGATGTCGTTGGTAGAAACATATTGTTTTATATAGCAAGACGTTTCGGACGTGTTGCTGTATAAGGTAAATAGTCCCTTCAAGCCACAGACGTTACAACACGTCTCCGAAACGTCGAGGTAAATAGTCCCTCCGAGACCATGGACGTTGCAACACGTCCGAAACATTGAGGTCCATTGTCCCTTCGAGACCACACACGTTGCAACACGTCCGAAACGTCGAGGTAAATAATCCCTTCGAGACCATGTACGTTGCAATGTGTCCGAAACGACGAAGTAAATAAAAAAATATACATGATTGTCCTGATATTAAATTCAAGTAATTTATGAAAACCGTGAAAGTTTAAATCACACCATTTTTCGAAGCTTTACGCTTACTCGTACTTGCAGAAAGCATGTGTGTTAAGACAAAAAAGTGAGCTCGACACCTATAAACCTTGTCGAAGTAAACGGTCTTCTAGATGTCCTTCTTAACATGATAAAGTACCCCGTAATACAATCAAATATATCTTTATTTCATAGGTGAACAAATTACACTGTAAATCGTTCACGTTGATTGAAAATTCACGTTGATTAAAATCTACGTCTCACTTCTAATTTAGATTCCCCGAGAGAGAAAGAGAGGAATGAGTATGAGTACTCCAAAGGTTGCTCTTTGTTATTGAACATTTGTACTTTGTCATTTACAATATTTATTTCAAGATCGAAACAACCTGCAAGATTTTTGTCACCGTGGATTGTTGAAATAAAGTTTTTGTTTCACTATAGTTTTAAACCACTTAAATCGTAAATTTTGGGTAACCATGTATCAACCGGAATCTTATTAGAGAATCGTATACATTAAATGAATTTGTGACTTTGTGAAAACGACTGTCAAGAGTAACTAGCTGGTTTATTTTTATTCCTCATCTTATTATTATCATCACTTAATATTATCATAATATTATGTCTATCTCTATTTTTTATTAAAAAAAACTCTTCTTAACTTAGTGTAAGTGTTAAATTTCTCTCTCAAAGGCACTCTAGCGTCCAGATTGTAACTTGCCCTAACCGCACGTTTGGGAAGGGCAGAGATTCAATTAATATTGAACCCCAAAGCAAAATGCCGTATGTCATTAAACTGTGAAAGTAGTTACGGAGCTAAGCTTTTTCGATAACTTAGAGTTAGTGCATACACTCGGCGACTTTTAGTAGTAAGTAGTAGCGACGCAAATGCGCGTTCGTGAAACGCGCAACCGCGATGCGCGATAGTTTCTATGTTGAATAATTATGTACGATAAATGTGTATAGGTTTATGCACATTATTTTGTTTTACATTAAGTAAATAAATAACTTAAATAATTTAAAACGTGCATCGCGTTTGCATCGCGTTTGTATCGAGTTTGCATCGTGTTTGCATCGCATTTGCATCGCTAAAAGTAGATGATGAGCGACTGCATCGCTACTGCGTCGCGTTTGCATCGCTGCTAAAAGTCGTCTTTTTTGAGGACCCTATTGGTATTAAACATTTAAAGCAATACTTAAAAATAAAACTGTATCTCCAAGGTTTACATTTTCGATTATATGACGTTTGTGACCTATATACGCTTTTATCTGAAAATTGCTAATGTAAACTTAATTACTTTTTTAATATCAAGTGACGGGACGAACAAGTCGTACGGCTGATGGTGAGCTACACGCCTGTCCATAACAGTAGCACTGTCACTCAGAGCTTTAAATCGCAACTATCTGAGGGGCACTGTCAAAGCGCCCGTCACTCTCAGACATAAGTTGAAAACTGACAAATTGACAAGTCCCATGTGCCTGTAATTTCACCAGCACCCGACCCTTCAAATCCGGACCACAGTAATGCTGACATTACTGGTTGGCGGCAGAAATAGGTAAGGTGGCAGTGCCTCACTAACTCTTTCACAAGCTCTACTGCTACTAAATTCTCACATAGTTTGTTTTATTCTCATTAAGGAATATGGTAATAATCAGAGGTACCTATACAGAGGATTAGACGTACTTTAGAAATTGGTCACATCGTCGCGACTCGTCGTAGGAAAATTAGTGCATTTTAATTTTATGAGGACGTGACATCACAACATGTTACATATTAACGAATCTTGTTTCGTTGCATTGGAGGCAATATTTGAACAACAGTGTATATGTTGACTATATACACTTTCCAAACTCTCCATGAGAATAATAGAGTAATTAATAAAGTTATTAATATAAACTAAAAATAAAAATGAACGGTCATGCTAATTGCAAACCCTGATTTTCTCATATCGTTGACATCGACCCTCTGAAACCCTATCACTCAAATAGGATTTAAGAAGGTACAGATCGCGGCCCGCCACACTACTACACTCGCGAGCAACCAAACCGACTCAGACCCTACACCTGCATATAAAGTAGTTTTTATCAAAAACTACCCAGTCAATTAATAAAAATGTCTTATTTTCTGATAGCCTGAAACTTTAGCTTTAAGATGGTCTCATTAGCATAAAAATCGATTGCGTGGTTTTTGAAATAAATGGTAATAGAGTTAACAATTAGGGAAAATAGGAATTTAGAAAAATAATTTATGGAGATTGTTATTTAAATTAAAACAAAAATAATAATAATAATAATAATAAATTTATTTAATTAATATTTGGTGTTACCCCCTCTAGCCCTAGTAACAGCTTGTAGTCGATTTTTCATTGACCTGATCAACTTTTTAATAACTTCTGAGGAATTCCGACCCATTCCTCTAACAACGCCGTCTTGAGCTCATTGATATTTGAAGGTGCCGATTTCTGGCTCGGACCCTTCGTTTGAGCTCGTCCCATAAATGTTCGATGGGATTCATGTCTGGACTAAGCGCTGGCCAGTCCATGGTCTGTATACGGACTTCTTCCAGAAACAGCTTAGTTATACGCGAAGTGTGACACCGGGCATTATCGTGCATCAATAAGAAGTTATCGCCGACAAACCCCGCGTACGGAACAACATGTTCTAGGAGAATGTCAGTAATATACCGATCGGCTGTCAATCCTCGGCCTCCCCCAGACACGAAAACGAGTTCGGCTTTCCCCTCTAAAGAAATTCCAGCTCACATCATCATACAAGAGCCACCGCCATATGCAACAGTTTCAGTGAAACAGTACTGCGAAAATCGTTCACCTGGGCGCCTATACACCCGACCTGTTCTATCACTGCCATGCAGACACATTCTGCACTCGTCAGTAAACAAGACAGCCCGCCATTGGTCGTGGTTCCAATTGAGGTGCTCTCTAGCAAATTGTAGGCGCGCTTGTCGACGGCTTGGCTTCAATTTCGGACCAGTTGCAGGACGTTTTGGTGTAAGGTTGGCTTCGCTCAGGCGTCTTCGAACTGTCCACTCGCTTACAGCCACACCTCGAACACGTCTTAGCTCTTGCTGTACGTCGACACCAGTCAGGAGATGTAGAGACTATGAACCGATCGTCGATTTGAGTTGTGCACCTGTGACGGTTGGTTCTCGGCCTCCGGTCGAATACACCAGTCTCTAGAAATCTTTTGTATACCCTTGATACAGATTGGCTTAGGTGCAGTTGAGCAGCGACAGATCGCTGACTAAGTCCCTGTTGCAAAAGAGCAACAACTTGAGTGGCTTCTTCCGGTGGTGTATCCATGGTTTTGTCAAAATAGTGATGGCGATTCACGGAGATGCGTTCAGGTCAACTTCTGGAAAGTTGGTCGCCCAACTCGTACAGGGTACCGCGAGTAAATTTTCCTGCACTGTCTATTTTATTTTATTTCTTAAAAACTACTGAATCGATATTGATGCTAATGGTACTTTTAAAGCTTTTAAAGCTGAAGTTTCAAGCATTTTAAACATATAACGTTTTTATAATTCGGTTGTAAACTTTTTGATAAAACCTACTCTGAATGCGCGCTTAGACATTGAGTCGGTTTGGTTGCTCGCGAGTGTATATAATGGCGAAATCGACCAGAGTAATTTCTTATAGAAAAACCTGTGATAGATCTTATAGGATCTATTTATTGAAAAGAAGACATCGAGGTTTCATATTTGAACATTTTGTACTAACAGTAGAATAATAATGCTTGTAAGTGTACAAACAAAATTGACTATATTGTCTGCAATAAATTATTTTTATTTAATTTATTTATTTTATAACAGTTACAGTGCCACTCAGAACTTTAAATCACAAAGATCTGAAGAGCACTGCGTCCGTCATCCTGAAACATTAAGTAGGAATGTGGTATTGTAAGAATATCTGTGAATTAGAAATGATCTTGTTATTAGGATAACCATTGTCTCCGCATCAAGATCCTGGGTGACTGTTACTACTGCGTGTCCGGGCTGCCCGAGCCGCGCTCCGACCACGCTCGCTGCACCGTCGAAATGGGCCTCGATATGATTGATGCTATTGCGTAAGTAATATTTTTTTTGTGAATTCAATAATTAATTATCTTACAAATTACAAAAACAAAGTAGAAAATATCACATGGTCGGCTAGCGCTCGTAAGAAGTCACAAAACCTATAAAAGTGAGCGCGCGCGCTCTCTGCTCCTGTGCACGTGACGTGACCTCAAATAGCTTTACCGTCGACGCCACCCCACTGGGTGCTTTTTCGAAGTACCATTGTTAACATTGGTAAGCTTCTTAATGATTTTTCTGCTTCAACAAAATTTAATTATGAATAAGATGAGATAATAAAAATATGTATGCACCATGCCATGGAGGCTAATTAGTAATGGCATAAAGCTTGTGAACACTTCCAATATTGAGAGTTTAGACTAGTTTGAAAATGATGTATTCAAGATCATGTTTAAAGGTTTAATTTAAAATTTTAAAATGAATAGGTATCTGAAAGAATCTTAATCAAAAATATTGTATCTCTTTAATATAATGCCATATAAATATGTATTACACTTGTTGTATTTATTTATAACATTATAAAATGGTACTAGCTATAAATATACGCAAAGGTATAAATTATGCTTAGTGGATTGTCTGCGCGGTTTTCTGGGCTTAGAAATTGATATGTCAAATAAAACACTAGGCGCTTTGCTTTTTAACTTTTGCCAAATAATTTTGTTCACATTAATTATTTTTAAAGATTAAATTTTTGTGTCTATTTAATGTCATTGTTTCACAAATCCCGATACATTGGAATTCCGGAGTAACGTGTGTAAGGCGTCTTCTTTTATTGACAAAGACAAACCATGTGCCGTAAAAAGGAGATCCAAGGTCGAGGTATCTAGATAAAGCGAATGATTTATACGTAACGTAAGTTCGCCACGTTTCATTATTACGCAGTAGTTTCTTCTACCGTAATCAATATTTTTTTCTATTCCATTATCTAAAAAGCCTTGGTAGCCTAATGTTTGACCCACCGCCTCTCAAGCAGAGGGTTTGACCTTGCCGGGCTTGCACCTTTGAGTTTTTCGGAATTTATGTACGGAAGGGGAAGGGTCAAATATGTCTCGGCGCAAAGGAAACCTATCTCAGAATTTTTTTTATATTAGGTAAGTAAATTCTATATATTTTTTTTCGATATCAGTGGCTAACATGTCAATATTGCCTTTTGATCTTGCTCAGGCACATAGAGTGAGGTAATGTATATCCATGTATAAACAAAAGCCTTTAACAATTTTTGTTCTATATTCTTCAAAAAGTATTATAAGGATCTATAATGTGATCAATAAAGGTAGGAATAATATAGTAAAATGAAGAAAACAGCACATAAAAAACAATAGTTGCATATGATTTTTTTGTTTTATATTATATTCTTATAATTAATCTTACATTCATTGGTCACATTATACTTCCTTATAATAGTTTTTGAAGAATAGAGAACAAAAACTGTTGAACGCTTTTGTTTATATATGAACATAGGTACATTACCTAATTTTTTGCGCCTGAGCAAAAACAAAAGGCAATATTGACATGTTAGCCACTGACATCGAACACATAAACTATACAGAATTTACTTACCTGTTATAAGCAAAATTCTGAGATTAGTTTCGTTTGCGCCAGGACTTGGTTAATTTTCTATGGGCTGAGACCCTCCTCCTTTACTATGAGCTTTTCGATGAAGTAAATAAAACATACAAATAGTTCTCCCGGCCCGGGAATCGAACCTAGGACCTCTGCGTGGCAGCATATGGTAACCGTTCGGCCATGGAGGCAGTTAAAATACTAACAGCCTCGCAGGACTGTACACTACTTTCTAACATCATAAACAACAACTTTTGTTCCATGACTTTTTACAAAATATCATAAATTTACCAAAAATAAACTTTTGAGATTTTGTTGTACTAGCTACCACTGTTTAGATCTGTATGTGGTAGTAAAGTAAGTTTAAAAGTGCAAGTGTCCTCCGCGACGACTCGCACCCCCCAACCTGCAGAGAGCGATCAATTTAAATCTATATATATTTGTATGAATGTAAAATCTGATGAAGTCATGGAACAAAAGTTGTTGTTTATAATGTTAGTAATATATTTCTGCGAGATATTTAGTATTTTACAAAGAACACTGCATATAGGCTAACTATTATTATTTTATTCTATTATACTCTTGACTTTAATTGTTTAGAAGAACATTAGCGTATTATGATGAACTTTATTTGATAAGTAGTCAGTACTTAGACTCAATTCACATTTTGTAACGAAACAGTATCTAGCATATTTAACTTTACAAATTAAAATGTACAAACTAGAAAGTATTCCCGAATACTCCCGAAGTATTCTTGCGCAGCCTTGTGAATTCCCTCTGATGCCGTCTAGTATCTAGTTCGTACGTTACATAATTGACATAAAGTTCGTTATGCTATGCACAATTTCGTTACAAAAAATCAGTCTATTCCGTTCCGCGGCAATGAGAATTAAGCCTTAAGAGTATAACTACCTCAAAGGGCTTTGGTTCATAACAGTGAAATTGTTGAATCAATCGCTTTAAAAAAAATATAGTAAAATTGTGGATATACACTGATTATTATACGGTGTGAAAACACGACTCCTAAAAATGTTAACGATAGAAAAAAACACAAACTTGCCTCGAAATTTTTCAAGAAAACCGCTGCATTCAATAGGTACTTTACATATACCAATGATTTTTTTTAATATCAACTGAACTAAATAGAACACGTATAGTATACGATATACATTTTTCAAATGACATTAATTTCGTTTGTAAAAAAATAAATTCCGAAATAAAGCCAGTATCCCTGCTGCTCGACACTGTGACGGAGTGTCCGAGTACCTATTGAATACAGCAGTTTTCTTGTAAAATTTCGAGGTAAGTTTGTGTTTTGTTTTCTATGTTCCGCCGCAATATAAACTGAGCCTTAAGCGGAAGTTCAACTTATTAACGTATTAGCAACTTAGATATCGAATGTCAGTCATGACAGACAGTTGTTACATGAAGTGGCTGAACTTAATGAACTTGCAAAATTCCGCAACAGGTTTGATCAGATAGTTCTTTTAGACATTTTAATTAGGGTATGGTTAGTTTTTTGTTACATTTTTTGTGAAGGTAGAAAATTAACAAGCGAGTGGGCTGGATAGGCGCGCAACGAAGCGTGCCCATGATACACGCGCGGTTATCTCACGCTGCTCATCAAAGGAGCTAAATATATTCTTTGTGCTCGCAGCCCTGCCCATCGCGTCATCTAGGTGGTAGGTGGCCCTCGGAAGGTCAATAGGTCGCGCATTCGTATTTATTTACCTCATCTCCATCTTCTTTATAAATTCTCGCCTGTGTTCTAAAACAATGAAGCTTTAATGTAAACAGTTAACTGTATTATGCACTACGTATATTTTTGTAACTGTGGAGAGCTATTTCTATTTCAACGGTCGCTATTATTATCTGTATTCGTGTATGATGGTTTTTGGAAAGCTCGTCTCGATATAGACTACATTTAGGAATATGAATAATGGCAAATGGTACCTAACAAGATCCCTTGGTTAAGATTCGCAATCTTTTTATAGCTCCTTCCATTACAAGTTGTTATAACGGTCTTGTCAGTAGACCGCAAACTTTATAAGAATGGTGGCAATCAACACCCGTGGCCTAACCGCAAGCCTCAAGTCACAGTACTTGGGTATATATAAATACTTATACGTAATATACTTCGTTGTTTGTGTATGACATCCACGCTTATAGTTTTTATGTAACTTTAAGATTTGTAGCTAGGTATTAAAACGTCACTTGGTTTGTTAAGTAGCCTAAACGGCTTAAGATTTACATTCGACTCTAACCATACCATGAGTAAATAAATAAATGAATAATGCGACTTGAATAAACTTAAAATTTTCATTAAAAAATATCATTAATTCAAGATGAAAAGTTTGATAAAACTGTAACTCGTGGGACTTGTTTAGGACATTCTAGGATTAAACTCAGACGGACTTTCAAATTCAATAGAGACACAGAAGAAAAGAAACCGACATCGCTATTTATTGATAAATGTTATTGTAATATTAATGATTGTCTAAATTACAACTTTTAATTATTTCATTCAATCACAGTTTATATCGTGTTTTTAATATTTTTAACTTATACCTGTCACGAATTGTATTTTTGCTGGAAATTTAACGAAATGACTATAATTTTAATATTTCTATGCCGCTTGTTGGCAAAATATGCTGGACTTTTTTCTATGTTGTAACATTAATTTTATTGTACCATTTACAAGAAATAAATTATATTGTATTCTATTATATTCTGTTCTATTCTATAGAAATACGCTTAGGAAATACGTTTAGATATTAAACTTGTTGACGTGCCTGCGTACAATCGGCACGATGAATAGTTTAAGGTTGTTTACGTAAACGAAATGGAATGTATTTTACTAAACTGTAAACAGGTAGATGTTGTCAACACTTGTCAACGAACAGACGATTCAGTCTTGACCTCAATTTGGTTTCCATAAATAATCGATTAACGTCGTAGCGAAATTGCCAGTCATATTGTTGACTAAATATGTCGTTTATCATTTTAATCGAGTGCACAACTACCAATTAACACACCCGCCATAGTGGCATCGCAAAATGTCGCTTATAAATAGAGTCTCCGCTTACGTGTGTGCACAAACTCGCGCTGACGCTCATTGATGCTCTGGGTTCTGTGTTTGCATTAGGTTCAACCGAGCTCAAACATTAACGGAATTACATCTAATTGCCAAGTTTTATTGAAATCGGTAACTCGCTAATCGCCACTCTTAGAGGTGGAATATTTTATTTGAATTTAAATGGAACTGCTAATGAAGTACCCCCATTCCAACAAATAAAGCATCGTCGAGATCAGTCCACAAATGTCGGAGTAATCGCGTAGCATACACAAAAACTACATTCGCATTAAGAACTTCCTCCTTTTTTCAAGTTGGTTTAAAATAAACAAAAGTATGTATTTTATATATGACCTA